AATCTTCTTTGTTATTATTATTTTGTATTATAATTTCCTGAGAGTTTATAGTATTTATAGCATTTTTAGTATTTATAGTATTCATAGTATTTATAGTATTTGGTTCTGTCTTTATATATAATGTAGAAGCATTATTATTATTACTATTATTATTATTAATATTATTATTGTTAATGTTATTGTTGTTGTTATTATTACTATTATTGTTGTTGTTAGAGATAGGTTTAACTTTTCCCATATTATTTAATACATTATCATTATTATTATTATTATTATTATTATTATTATTATTATTATTATTTAAAGATGAAGAATATTGTTGAACATGAATATGTGAAGAAGAAGAAGAAGTTGGTTGTTGATGATGTTGATGATGTCGTTGTTGGTGATGATAATTATTTGTATTATTAGCTGGTATGGTGATAGAAGCCGAACCAATTGGTTGGTATATATATCCATTGGTTCCAGAATATCCAACATTTGTATCAAAACTAGAACCAAAATTCCCTGAAGAAAATCCTCTAGTTGTTGTCGTTGTCATGGAAGTTTGAGGAATTTCTATTTAAATTAAAATTTTAAATTAAAATCTTAAATTATTTTTTATTAATTATAAAAAAGTTTAGAGAATAATATTTTAAGTTATAAAAATTATAATAGCAACAAATTATAATGATAAAAATAGTAATTGTAATGATAATAATAGTAATTATAATAACTAATAATTTATAATGATAATAATAGTAATTATAAATAACTAACAATTATAAATGATTATAATAATAATAACTAATAATAATAACTAATAATAATAATAATAATAATAAAATAAGAGAATAACATTAAAGGCATTAAATTATTTACCTGAAAAAGGAATGCCAGTAGAATTGTGATGTGTAATATCCATCATATGACTAAGTGGTTCTTCAGTTGCGAATGTGTTAAAAAAATCAGTAATGTATTTTTGATCTTGTTCTGAAAGTATTCCATCATCGTGTGCCATTTGTTCGGTAGGGTACCCAAGCATGCCCCCAGAATTTGTCCGAAAAGACATTATTCTTCTCTCTCTTATTTTTTATATTCACACCACAAAAGATAGTCCGATATTGAATTTAATAATGAGTTTTACGACGTTTTAATTTTTTTTTAAAAAAAAAATAAAAAATGTTTTTTTTATTTATTTCTACTATGTATTAATATTATTAATATTATTATACTTTTCCAAAGTATAAAGGTTTATAAAGGTTTATCACCTAACAAATTTTTTTTTTTTTTTTTTGGATATATATATATATTTTAACACTTTTATTTCACATGATAAAAAAAATTCATCCATCCATCCATGAATCTCCATGTGCACAGGGTTAGACAGATTTTTGCACAACGATATATCTAAATGATAATGATTATAATAATATTATTATTTTAAATAAAATTTAACAAAAAATATATATATATAGTAAATTTATTCTTTTAAAAAATCTAAATTTTACTCATTCTCTATATAAATTTATCTAAATTTACTCGTAATCTCTTAAATTTCTCTAAATAATCTAAATAGAGATATCAATTGATTAAATTAAGTTTTTTTTTTTTTTTTTCGGAAAATAATTTATTCATTAATTCTAAATTCTTCTTTTCGTAAATTCTTTTTTCTACCCTTTTTTAGGTATTATTTATATTACAAGAATAATAACAAGAATAAAAAAAAAAAAAAAAAAAATTTATTTACTATTCTATTTATATAAAAATTGAAAATGTAATTGAAAAATAAATGTTGATAAAATTGATAAAATTGATGATATAATAAAATTGATAATAATATAATAATAAAATTGATAATATATATACATGAAAATATATTTTTTTTAAAGAAAGAAAAAAATGAAATAAATGAGAAATATAAATATTTGTATATAATCATAATAATAATATCATAATTATAATATAATAGTAATAATAATAATAATGATTATAATAATAATAATCATAATAATGAATTATTTCATAGATAATTAATAATTAATTCAAATTAATTAATATACTTAATATACATTTCACCAATCATAATATTTCTTTAGTATTTATTATTTATCATTATTCTTGTTATTATTCTTGTTATTGTTATTATTGTTATTATTCTTGTTATTGTTATTATTGTTATTATTACTACTATTATCATTATTGTTATTATTGTTATTATTGTTATTGTTATTATTTTTATTACAATTCTTATTAATAATAATATTATTCATTTGATTATAATTCTGATTAATAATATTATTATTTTGATTCATATTATTATTTCCACAATGTCCAAATCCAATCGTCAAACCAGGAAATTTTAATATATTTCTTTTGACAGTAACTTTACCCGGGGATTTACGTTTATTGGTCGTAGTCTTATTGGTGGGATGAGGGTAAGATCTAAAAGTTAAATGTTGTAATGTACGAGTATAAGGTGATATGGTATGATTGGAATTCATTAATGTAGCAAGTTGAGCCGCTACGGATGTTTCGGAAGGTTGTAAAAATATTTCTTGTTGTTGAATTTGTTGATTGGTTCTTAATTTATCACCATTCTCATTCTCATCCTCATCCTCATTCATATTCTCTTTCTCATTTTCATTATTATGATTTTTGTTATTATTCTCATTGTTATTATTATTATTATTATTATTATTATTATTATTATTATTATTATTATTATTATTGTTATTAGAATTATTATTGTTATAATTATTGTTATAATTATTGTTATTATTGTAATTATTATTATTATTATTATAATAATAATAATTATTAGTTTTGAATTTCTTATCATGAATAAAATCACCATTACCATTATTATTATTATTATTATTATTATTATCATTATAATTAATAACATTTTCATTAATTAAATCTAAATTAGTGTTTCGTTGAAATTCTGTTAACATCGTTCGATCAAAATTTTGATATTGATTATGACGTTGAAGATTGGCTGCTGTCATTTGAGTACGAGTTAATTCAATAAAATTATCAAAATTACTACTATCATTATTATTATTAATACTCCTATTATTATTATTATTATTATTATTATTATAATTAGTATTATTCATATAACGTCTTAAAGAATTTCTTAATTGAGAATAATGTTGTTCTTGTTGAGAAGAAGGTAACCAAGTAGGTAATGAACCTCTTCTATGAGGTTGTTGACGATGAAATATTCGTGGTCGATTACCATCCATGTGATGATCTTTGTGATCTTTCTTTGGTGAAGATATTGCTTTTAATCCTTCTTCTTTCTTTCGTTCAAATAAATCACAAAAATTGGAATATGCTGAATACGTTGAATACGTTGAATATCCCGGATATCCATCTAACGAATCAAGATCTCCTAAATTGGATAATCCATCTTCAGCATAAAATGATGATAATGATGATGATGATTCTGGTGAATTACTTGAAATTTCGGAATTGGGTGTTAAAAGTGGTGTATGATATCGAAGATCTGGCATTGACATTGTATCATATGGTGTATTTCCTGAAAACATACATTGAGGTCCTTGTTGTGATTGGATGATCGTTTGTCGATGTTTTGATGAAGTCGATTGTCGTGGTGGTGATGATGATGGTGATTGTGATGGAATCGATCGTGATGAAATTGATTGTGATTGTTGATTTAATGTGGAATCTTCTTTTTTCTTGGAAAAATTAAACCATTTTTGTAATGATAATTGATGAACAATTGATGGTAAATCCTCTTGAAACATTATTCTTAATCTCTTTTCAATTTCCGTTTGTAAAAATCTTTGTATACTAGAAATACTATCAAAAGTTGAAGTGACATCAACTTTCTCTAATGGATCATTTTTAAAAACTAATGTAATCCCTTTTTGTTTACTAACAACCAAAACAATAATTCCTCGTAATTTCAAATTACTTAATCTTAATAACATTGGAACTACTAAAGGTTGATCTGCTGCAAGAATTCCTCTTCTGGTGTACATGCTTACATCTGATTTATTACTATTCATAGGATTCGCCTATTTTTTAATATTATATATTTTATATTTATTAATTAATTAATTAATTAATTTATTTATTTATTTATTTAAAAATAATTATAAATATTTAAAAAATTAAATAAATTATTTAAATCAATTACCTGTACTTTTGTTTGTAAAGTCAAATGTGCATCTCCAGTATAAATTAATTTAAAAATTCCTCTAAATTTATCAACTGCTAATTCTCCAATTTCCATGATTTCCAACTCTGGTGGCTATTAATTAATTAAATAAAAAAGATCATTATTATTATTATTATTATTATTAAATTTATTATATTCTTAATATCTATTTTTTTAATATGATTATATTTTTAATTTTTAATTCCCATCCTAATTATATTATCATTTTTTGATATGATCTACTGGTTATGAATTCTCTTTTGATACCTTTGTTCCCATATTCAAGTCTTTGACAACTATATGATCTACGATATTCGCAGGTTTATTACTCTTGTTAAGAGCTGTCGTTAAAAGATTTTTTGCTTGTTCAACAAATTCCGTGGTAAAATCTGGCCAATTGAATTTAAAAGCCATATCTATATTATTCTTTCTTTTCTTTTTTTTTATTAAAAAAAAAAAAAAAGAGAGAGAGAGGGATAAAAAAAAAATTAAAAAGAGATAAAAAAGAAGTAAGATAGGGAGTAGATCCGATACACACAGATAGTACAGAAATTAATTAGATATATTTAACCAATAAAATTTATTCATTCAAATTATTTCCAAATTATTCTAAATTATTCTAAAAAAAACTAATACCATTTATTCTAAAGTTGTTACATTTGGCCAGAATTAAAATGAAAAGAATTTGACTTTTGGCATCAGTGAAATATAAAAAAAAAAAAAAATTAAATTATAAAGTAAGTAAATCATTAAATTATAAGTACGTAAATCATTAAATAAGTAAATCATTAAAAATTTTGTAATAAATTGGGAATTGCGTGATAGAAATAGAATTACTGATATGAAATCTCATTTTTCGTTTTTTTTATTTTTTTATTTTTTTTTTATATCAGGTTATTTTTTATCATTGTTAATTTTTGCTTTCTTCAAGTTGACCTTTTTAATTTCTAATTAAATTAATTAAAAGACAAAAAGCAAGAAGCATGTCGAATGTAGATGACCAGAGTGTTAATAACAACCCAAATATTATTAACGAGTCAATGGATTTTATAAATAAAGATCATGAAAGGACCAACTCTGCCCCTTTAACTGATTTTACTTTTTCAATAATAAATGAGCCTTCAAATAATGAACCTTCTGCACCTTTAAAAAATTTATCAAGAGAAAACTGGACCGATTTCAATACTCAATCTCCTAAACTAGAAGAAAAACAAATTTACCTTGGTGATTTAACTATGAAAGATCAAAATATGTTACAAACGGTCGATAAAGAGTGTTCTACTATTACTACTGCTACCACCCCCACTACCACCACTACTACTACTGCTGCTGCTGCTGCTGCTGCTGCTATTTCCCATGATAAAAAAGAAGAGAATTTCATTGGTGATAATAATAATAATAATAATCATAATAATAATTATTATTATAATAATAATCATAATAATAATCATAATAATAATAATAATATGAATAATAATCATAATAAAGAGTCACGAGAAATCATAGAAGATGAGTTTATGCAAGAAGATAATAATCCAGATGGTGTACTTGGTGGTGGAGTAGTTGAAACTCCACCGAGTTTATTTCAAAAAGAAAATGATAATATTCCAAATAATCATCAATTAGAAATGCATAATATGAATATGTCCATCTCTTCTGACAATAATAATGATAATAATAATAATAATGACATGGTGTCCCGATCTTCTTTTTCTTCTTCGAAATTCGAGAAATCTGTTGACCAATCTCCTACTATTATTACTACAACAGATTTACCCAAAATTTCCCCTCTTGAACCATCATATTCTTCGTATTCTGGATTAAATGTACAAAATGTTGTTATTCAAAATAATAATAATAATAATAATAATAATAATAATAATAATGCAAATGCAAATACAAATAATACAAATAATAATTCAAATATTTCAAATATTATGGATACTGATGAAACTTTCAATATTCAATATAACCAAGATCGAGATAATATTCAATATAATATTCAAGGTAACCAAGGCCAAGATAATAATAATAATAATAATAATAACCAAGAGTATGATGCAATTCACGCAAGAACGACCAACCTATTTGTTCTTCCAAAAAATGAAAATCTTGAAAATATTGATCAAGGAACCCAATTAAATGTTGATCAAGGAAATCGATTAAATGTTGATCAAGGAAATCGATTAAATGTTTTAAATGTTGATAATAATAATAATAATAATAATCAACAAATTTCTCAAATTCCTCCTCAAATTCCTCAAATTCCTCAAATTTCTAATATTGAACAAACATCATGGGATGCCCCCCATAATTTAGATGATGATAATAATAATAATGCCGAACATAATAATTATGGTAGAGAAAATCGTAGATGGCGTGGTCGCCGTTCCCAAAGTTCTCATACTGATAATAATGATAAATCTGAACCTAAAGGTCACTTAAATTTGCGTAAATTATCGGATGCTGAATTTCAAGCTTTGCCTTCTGGTTCACGTTTATTTTTAGGAAATTTATCCACCCATTCTACTTCGAAGAAAGAACTTTATGATATTTTCTCACCTCACGGAGAAATTTTACAAATTTCTATCAAGAATAGTTTTGGTTTCGTTCAATATGATAATCCCGCAAGTGTGATAAGAGCTATTGAAAAAGAAAATGGTAGAGTGTTGCATGGATTAAAATTAGGCATGTATTTTTTATTATTATTTTTTTTTTTTTGATATTAAATAATCCGTATTATTATTAAAAATCATATTAACTATTTTTAATATATCTTTAATATACGTTTTTAATTACCTCATGTAATACATTCTCTAATAATGCATCTTTAATGCATCTTTAATATATCTTAATTAGGATTAGAAGTTTCTCACGGTAAACCATGGCATCATTCATCATCGCACGAAGGGGGATTTAAACCTTCGGGTGGTAATAGACAAGGAAAACATTGGAATAAAAAAGTATATAAAGATAGTTGGCACCAAAATGATCGTGATTATCCTCCATCAAGAAGTGGTGGCGGTGGAGGCGGCGGCGGCGGCGGAGGAGGTGTTAATCATGGTCAATCATATCAAGATCGACGTTATGATGAATATGATCGCCGACCTAATGATTATAATAATCGTCGTGCTTCTTATGATTCGAGAGGTAGTTATGATCATTCGGATCAAAGACCTTCTTCTTATCGTAATAATAATAATAACAACAACAACAACAAGGAAGAAAACGAATATAATAATATTGGAGGTGGTAATAGACCTCCTCCTCGAGATGATAGAAAATATCGTCGTAATTCTTATCGTGAAGATCATCATGATGAACGTTACCCCCATCGTTCAAAACCATATCGAATCCCTTCAAGGGAATTTATTGAACGAAGACAAAGTCGTGATAATCAATATCGTTCTCAATCTCATGATGAGCATGATGATGAATTTCCCTTGCCCCGTAGACAAGGAAATGATGTTCCGGAATGTCAAATTATCGTTCTTGAAGAAGCGGAACGGTGAGTTAATAATAATAATATTATTATTATTTTATTTATATCTATGTATGTATTATGTATTTATTTATTTATTTATTTCATGATATTGATATTTTCATTATTATTATTTTTTTTTATAACTACCTAGAAATTTCATTTGGCAAGTTGAAAGTGCTTTTCGTGATGCATCCATTTCTGTACATACCCTTCATTTGTCTCGTAAACTTCATATTCAGGCTGTCATTCGTCAAATGATCGTAGAAGGAGTACATGCTGTTATTTTTATGGAAAGACACCTCGCTTTAAATGGTCGAGTGAACATGCAAATCTTTGATCAAACAAGATTGAGAGACAATGTTAAATATGATGGTCAGTATATTTTGCATAATATAAAAAAAAATTAAAATATCTTTATAGCTTTAATTAATATTTATTTAATATTTATATAGAATATAACAATATTAAAGTCGAAGAAGCTGTTGGCCTTTTATTAAGAACACGGATAACACAACGACCTAGTGATTTTAGATCACCAGATAATTTGTTGTTTGGTGGACAACCAAATATACCCCAAACACAACAAACACATTCAATTGGTGGACAGCCAGCACCTACAGGACTTAATTCAATCTCTTTAAGTAATGTCAATTTCGCTGCCCTTGCAAATCTTTTGGGAACTCTTCAACAACCTGCTGCTGCTGCAAACCCTTCTCCAAATGTTCAACCAATGTCTATTATTACACCTGGAAATATGCAAACTTCTCAACCTGGCTCGTTAACTCAGCAGCAACCAAATTTTGATGTACAACAATTACTTAGACAACTATCACCTCAAAATGCTGGAATTCCTAATCCACCATTTATAACAGTGCCTTCACAAATAACATCTAATTTAGGCCCACCTCCTTCAACTTTTAATACTTCAATAGTTGGTCAACCTACCAACACTATAACTCCCAATTCTCTCACGCCTAATGTGATACCTTTAACTCAACATCAGCCTCAACATATTAATCCTAATATGCAACAATTTCAAACCCCTTCTAACGTAACAGATATCATGTCCCAATTTAAACAATATAGTACTCAACGATAAATTACTCATCAATTCTTTATCTGCTAAATTGATTTCGATAAACTGCTTCTATAACTTCTGCTTCCATAATAACTGCCATTCAAATTATTTCAGTTACTTAATATACAGTCTTGTACATTTTTTATTATTTTTTCTTTTTGGGAAACCATCTTGGGTTATTATTACATTAAGAATTACATGGTTTATTTAAAGAAGTGACGCCGACAATTTATATCGGCAGATTTGATTCCCGGACTGGTTGAATCATTATATTCGAGTCTGCATATAACATTTGTCTAATATTCGTTTGTCCTAGTCTGCATTTTTTTTTTAAAAAAAAAAAAAAAAAAAAAAAAAAAAAAATAGGGGGAGGAAAACCACGTTCTACAAAACCATTTTTCTCCCTACCCAACACAAAAAATTTTTCTTTTTTGGAGGATTTGGTTTTAGAATCTAAATTTTTTATACTATAGCTAGAAAATTAGTAAAAAAAAAATAATATATATATATATATATATATGTATATATTAAGGTAGGTAAAATGAACAAAAAAACTTCACTTGATGTGTACAATCCTTGTCTAATAATAATAAACCTTGTAAATGTATGTATGTATTAATTCAAGATTTATTATAATAAAATTTCATAAAATTATATATATATATTTTTGAATGTTTCTTTTTTTTTTGAATACAATTTTCTATAATTTATCTATTCAATCATTATAAATTTATTTATTAAATAATAATTAAAATAATCAACCACCAAATTCCTTGGTAAGTTCCCTAATAAGATTTAATAAATATATTCATATATACCAACTTAATAAAAATAGTAATAAAAAGAAATATATATAATATAATTATAAAATGCAAACCTTGCAATCACCATTCTTCGGATTTCATTTGTTCCGGCGCCAATTTCATATAATTTTGCATCTCTTAATATCCGACCAGTGTCATATTCATTTATGTACCCATTACCTCCCAAGCATTGAATAGACTCCAATGCAACTTCCACGGCTCGTTCGGAAGAAAATAATATAGCTGCGGCACAATCCTACCGAATAATAATATTTAACATTTATTTATTTATAAATGATTACATTTATGAACTCGCATAACATATTATTTTTATACCTTATTAGAAACATGGCCAAGATCACAAGCTTTAGCAACTGAATATACAAATGATCTAGATGCATTCAGTTTAGTATACATGTCTGCAAGTTTCCCTTGCATTAACTGAAAATGTGCAA